ACACACACACTCACACACACACACACACACACACACATATATATATATATACAACACACACACACAACTATATATATATATATATATATATATATATATAAATATAATATGTATGCATACATATGAACCCATACTAATGTACATTTGCTCATTGATTTAGATTCTGCTTCTATATTCTAGTCTCAAACAGCCCATCGACTCAGTCTATACTCAGCGAAGTAGAGTGGTCATGTTTCGGTGCACCAAACCCATCCCAAACAACGACTGCGCTACACCCACCCACTACGTCTGCTGGTAGATCCGATGTTCGCGCACACACACCCGGGGAGAGTACCGAACATCCAAAACAGGATACCGGTATTACGGCGCTAAAAAGCGGTACAGGCGACTGTGTAGGGGTAGACAGTCAAATGGGGGAGAGCGCAAAGACACAGGCTGATAGACCTATAAACGCACACACGCATGTGGATGCAAAAACGGATCTCTCCCACACATCTGTAGATACGCATGAAGTGTCTTCGATTGTCGCACACACCCCTAAAACGGTAGACACACGGGTGAGAAGCCCTCCACAAACCATGGGCACCCCTCCCCCTGCCATCACCTTACCGCCAGCACACCTGAAGATATCGGTATGTCCTCACTTCAGTATGGTTTCTGTGGAGACTACATGTCCTCTCTTTGCCTCTGTCTATCGTATCTAGGGGTGTATAAGGTTTGGGGTTTGATACGAATGGGAAGGCTAAGAAGTATCATTATGGCCTTTCACTGGGTTGGGGTTTCTTATTGTCTTTGTGTGGTTTTTTAATGAGTAGGGATATATAGCCGACTGATGCATGACTCATAATTCTTTCAGGGCCACGGTGACCTGCAATCGCCTACCTACTTATTATTTCGGTTGTATTCACTACTTACTTATTATTTCGGTTATAGTTACCTACCTACTTATTATTTCGTTTATATTTACCTACCTACTTATTATTTCGTTTATATTTACCTACCAACTTATTATTTCGTTTATATTTACCTACCTACTTATTATTTCGTTTATATTTACTACCTACATATTATGTCGGTTGTATTTACTACCTACTTATTATTTCGTTTATATTTACTACCTACTTATTATTTCGGTTATTTTCACTACCTACTTATTATTTCGGTTATTTTCACTACCTACTTATTATTTCGGTTATATTTACTACCTACATATTATGTCGTTTGTATTTACTACCTACTTGTTATTTCGTTTATATTTACTACCTACCTACCATTTCGTTTATATTCACTACCTACTTATTATTGCGTTTGGATTTACTACCTACTTATTATTTCGATTAGATTTACTGCCTACTTATTATTTCGTCTCGATTCGAGTATGTATAAATATACGTGGGCTACGTACACTTGTATGAATTAGGTGAGATTCAATCTATAATCTATAAACCTGGATGCGAATCAATCGATCACCTATAGCCATGGTCAGCATAGTAGTTAACTGTGATGCGGTTCAATCTATGATCTATAACCATGTATGTGATTAAATCTATTATCTATAACCATGTATGTGATTGAATCTATGATCTACAACCATGTGTGTGATTGAATCTATAATCTATAACCATGGATGCGAATCAATCGACCACCTATAGCCATGGCCGGCATAATAGTTAACCATGATGCGGTTCAATCTATGATCTATAACCATGTATGTGATTGAATCTGTGATCTATAACCATGTATGTGATTGAATCTATTATCTATAACCATGTATGTGATTGAATCTATGATCTATAACCATGTGTGTGGTTGAATCTATAATCTACAACCATGGATGCGAATCAATCGATCACCTATAGCCATGACCAACACAGTAGTCAACCATGATGCAGTTCAATCTATGATCTATAAACATGTATGTGATCGAATCTATGATCTATAACCATGTATGTGATTGAATCTATGATCTATAACCATGTATGTGATTGAATCTATGATCTATAACCATGTATGTGATTGAATCTATGATCTATAACCATGTATGTGATTGAATCTATGACCTGTAACCATGTATGTTATTGAATCTTTTATCTATATCCATGTATGTGATTGAATCTATGATGTATGACCATGTATGTGATTGAATCTATGATCTATAACCATGTGTGTGATTGAATCTATGATCTATAACCATGGATGCGGTTCAATCTATGATCTATAACCATGTATGTGGTTGTATCTATAATCTATAACCATGGATGCGAATCAAACTATTAGAATAATACTTCACCAGAGTTGTTGATTTTTCTCGTCTGACGCTTTTTTTTTGTATGTGTAGAGCTCTCGGAGCTTGCCATCCAACTCCGTAGACAACAGGTCCTCCGTTGGAACTGTTAAAACTCTCGACAGTGATTGGCTGACCGATAAAATGGAGACCGACCATTGGCAGTTGCCAGACGACTTTGTGGTATACGACAACAAGGTTAAGCCTACACGAGCAAGGACCAGTGGGAGTAAACAGTCAGCACAACACTCCACAGAGTGTGCTACACATGACTCTGTCGATCCAAGGGAGAACGAGCCGTATACTCACATGCACACTAGCGCGACTGCATGCGACTCAAGCGATGTACATGTACATATACCTACCTGTGACATACCAATGCACACGAGTGAGTCGGCTGAGCATGCGCACGGGACATTACAGCAGGCAGTGGAGAGTCAAGAGTGGGTGATGGAGCACTCAGACGCACAGACGGGGTGTGTGCGGGAACAGGAAAGGGATGCAGACGGTTCTATAAATAGAATGCAACGCAGTAGCAGCGCAAGTCTCGGTACCGTTCTGTGTACCGCCAGTCTTACCGGAAATGGTAAAAATGCTCACAGTTGCGCTAAAAATAGTACACGTGGCAGTGGGAGCGGTAGTAGTCGCGGCAGTGCTAAAAATAGAACACACCATGACAGTGGTGGCAGCAGTGGTAAACCACACCCACCTACACCAAAACCTCACCCCACACTCCGATCATTGCACTCCAAAGTACAACCACAACCACAACCAACACGCACAGATACACAAACGCCGCCCACACACTCAGACACACACACACACCCAGGTACTAAGCTACAGCAGGTGTTTGGGGACGTGGCACGGCCTGGGGGTGTGCCTATGACACGCAGCCACAGCCGAGATCAGAGGGTGGCGCGGCGGAAGGGCACCCGAAGCAAATGCGAAGAGCGAACACACAACATAGCCGTACCATCACTCGCGAATAGCCTGTCTAACCGGTCACAGGGATCGGTGGTACCGAACCAGTCCACCTCGTCACTGCGTATGGTAGGGGCACCCTCCGCCAGTGAGACGCGGGATGGTGTACAGGGGTTGGATTGTTTGCCACATATCCAGCGTGCAGGTTCATCGCCCACGGGCAGCCAGATTGAACGCACCGAACACCCGGCTCAGCCGTGGGTGTGTGCGAGTCTTCACAGCTCACACCACTCACTGCCGGCAGGTCGCTCTGGCCAGTCTGTGAACCAAGCACAATACCTGCGACAGCCCCATAGCCCACCCAGCAGCCAACATGCACCGTCGCACTCGGCGCCTTGGCACACTCAGGGACGGGTTGGACAGGGCTCGGGTAGTGGAGGGAAGTCACGGACGAAGACAAACAGCCCACACAGGTGTGGACATGCGGGTGCTAACACCCAGCCAGCGAAGAGAACTACCGAACTTTCTCTGGAGGGTCTGGATAACACGCGACTGTCACCCCCGCATGCGCCGGGGAGACCCAAAGCCAAATCGTCCACCCCATCTGCGTCCTTTGTGGAGTGGAGTCCGATCCTCCCGGTGTGCCATTTATGAGTGTGTATTCTTGTGATGAATAGACGATATGAGTATATGAATATTCATGGATGTATGAAGACATTTATGCGTGTATAAATTTGTGAGTATATGAATAGACGATATGAGTATATGAATAGATATTATGGATGTACGAAGACATTTATGAGTGTATATACTTGTGGGTATATGGATAGACGAAATGAGTATATGAATAGACATTCATGGATGTATGAAGTCAACGGTAATCTTATTGACCCGTTTAGTTATGTTTGGCCATACAATACTGTTCTAACCATTGCTTGTTTTGCTCCTTCGTCTGGTCTGGAGCAAAACCTAAGCGCATATTCCTTTGTAAATCAAGTTTTTCTCTCACTCATAGCTCGTGAACCCTTTTATCAACCCCAGAAAAACTCGAGCAAACGAGTGCACGCCAGTGATGGTGCCACTAAGCCCATCAACGATATGCCGATTATGTCCACCGTTGCACGTCCCGTTGTCCGTTCGGCTGTCACCCAGCCTGAGCCTCAAACCCTGATAAAACCCGGTTTGCCAATGAAAAAACCTAGGTTTCCCATCACAGCCACGCCGAGTGGTGTTGTTGTGGAGACACCGACTGTTCGAGCCACGGTGAGTTCGAGACTTGTATCTGCCATACTTGTATCTGCCATACCGCGATACCTTTCAAAGTAGTTTATAATCTTAAGTAGTTATAATTAGTTTATGATCTTAAGTAGTTATAATTAGTTTATGATCTTAAGTAGTTATAATTCTTAAGTCGTTCTAGTAGTAGAATACTGCGAGGATGTTACCTACATCATCCTTCCACTGTCGCATTCTGCCACTGTTTTGGTGCACGATCAATTCGCCTCAGTTGACCTATTTTACCAAAAATAGTTCACCCATCGTCTCGTCATTCTAAAAATAGAATACCTACACACTGTACAACCCACAGGCCGTTGTGGACATGACGCCAATGCTGAAATCGCTCAACATATCACGTGATAAAGTAGCCCACACATCCCGCAATTCGTCCCGTAATACATCTGCGGTTGCGCTGAGAGACCTGTCCGCAAACTTGTCAGTTTCGAACAGGAGCCACCACCCCGCACATGAGCGCCGTTCGCATGTTTCAGGCACACCGCGATGTGTGCAGTCACCCAGGAGACTACAAAGTCAACTCTCGTATGTGCTTGCGTTGTTTATACTATCTATG